AACCTATGATCCCATGACCTAATGCCAAAAATCAGATTAATATATGAGCCGGACTGTGCCGGCGTACCAGATATTAAACTGATAAGAACAGATACTTTTTTTTTTTTTTTTTTTTTTTTTTTTTTTTTTTCCCATCAACTAGAGTAGCCTGAAGCTGATGCCAGGCTTACACAGGGCCCCAGAAGAAGGGTTTGTTTATGTTTTTTCAAGAAGCCTAAGCTCCTTGTTTTGCTCAATTAAGGGTTTTGAATATAGCTGTCTAGCCGAAACTAGGAAGCATTATTTTAAAGAAAGTTTTTAAAGTTATTTATTCTGTTTTTAGCATAATTTTATAATTTTTATTTGATTTTAATAAGTTTTATAATTTTTTTGATATTTTTTAGTTTTTTATATTTTTGTTGAACTTTATTAATTTGAGGTTTATTTTATAGGTCAAGAATGGTCTAATACCATTCGTCTCGGTTATTTCTGATGTTTTTCTGGCTTTTCATCTCTTATTTCGATCGAGCCTCCATCGATTACTTTTTGCCTTGCAAGTTTTTCTTCCTCAAGCTCGTCGCTCTTCTTCTCCATAAGCTTGCCGTCTTTCAATTCTTCCTTTTTCGTATTCGGCTCTCCGATACCGAACGTATATTTTTAAGTCCTCTTCGGAGCAATTATTTTTATTGAAGCCGTCAAATAGGTTCATTAAGATTGTAACACCGTATTTCGGTGGAAGTCATATTTTCAAATTCGATTGGGAGTTTAACTCCAGAAACATCAATTACTTTTCGTTCACGTTCTGATGTTGTGATAGGTTTGTTTTCTACGCTACAGTTTTGTGTCATTTGTTCATTTTGTGTTACGTTCAGCTGGTTTATTTATTATTTGCTTCGTTTCCACTTTATTGTTAGTTTCTGATGAGGGGATTTCAGAGTTGCTTGTTATATTTGTTATAATTGGCGTTAGTTTTAGTTTTTTGCTACTTGTTGGTGGAAAATCTTCCTCTAATTCATCTAGACTGTCTTTTTTTCTAAAAACGTCTTTCTCACTCTCTTTTTCAGTTTCATTACTTTTATCTATATTCTTTACTATACTGACAACGTCATCGTCTTCACTTTCTATATCATCGTTTTCTTCGTTTTCTTTTGGTTTACTTTCGTCACTTGTACTTTCATCGCTATATACCTCACTGCTACTTTCATCATAATTCCCTTCGCTTTCTTCAGCCTCCTTATGCTCAACCTTAGCTTCACTCCTACTATCTTTACTGAAATCTTCAATATTTTTATTTTTTTCGTTTTCTTTATCCTCGATTTCCATTATAAGTTCATCGTTCGTATGATCTTGGATTAGTTCTGATGTTACTTCTAAAGCTGGAATACTAGGTGTTTGGACTTTATTATTAAGGCTAATATTGGTATTATTATTGCCAACTAATGGTAAAACCAAAGTTGCATCACTAGTTGGATCGCTAGTACAGTTAATAACTTTATCTTGATTTGTTTTACTTTCTTTCTTTTGGTTTCCATCATCTTTCTGTCCGGTGTAGATAGCCCTAACTTCATAGCCTTTAAGGTTAATAAATCTAGGGATTGGTTTAGTTAGGTTGTCCATTACTACCACTATTATGCCCGAGTAAAAGAGCGTTTTGTTTTTCGGTGTTCGTTTTAGCATAGGTTTAGTCCTAATATGTTTGCCGTACCCTAGTTCCTCCAAGACCTTACCGGCAGGAAAGTTACACTTCTCTATTGGCAGTCCTAGGATGGATATCGTTACCCTTTTGCTAATGTTTCTACTAGGGGTTGATTGGTAAAATTGGTGTAATTCACCATTTATATTAATTCCTTTGTCACGGATTGTGTGCTTGACTTTGTCATTTGTCATAACAAGTTCAATACAAGAGCCGTTACGAATTTGTTGAAAACCATAAAGATATTTATCGTACCCAGCATCTTCAATAGCTGATAAGATCTCTATATCGCTAAGTTTCGTAGTTACTTTACTTAAAAGCGTATTTTTAAGCAAACTATACTCGTCTGTGGTATTATTAGTTGTTGCAGTATGTGTGTCGATTTTACTTGCAACTTGTGCATAGGTTTTAGCTACGGCTGTACCAGCCGCGTTTTTAGTATCTATTTCCATGGTTGTATTAGGATCTACTCGTAGCATGGTGAATAGTACTACTAGTATAATAAAACTCTCAGTCACTCTAGAGGCGAGTAGACCCCTAAAAGAGGTCTAACCAACCTCTTTATACTCACAGTCACTCTATTAGCACACTGAGATCTACGATCTCTATAACCTCTCAGTCACTCAATATTCACTAAAAGCCAGTAGACTTTTATAATACTCAACCTTGCAACCCGTGGAAGGGGCAAGGTAAAACTCACAACACTCACAGAAGGCCAGTAGACCTTCTTTTATACTAGTTAGGATCTCTAGCTCGTCCAAATGGACTAAAATCAAGAACAGATACTACACTTGATCTTAGCCATTAGGCCGAGAAGCGATCGATGGCCTAATGATCGAAGGCCGATAAGAACAGATACTACACTTGATCTTAGCCATTAGGCCGAGAAGCGATAACTGACCACTGCAGACATAGTCGGACAGACGCCGTCTTCAACAATGCACTTGTGGTTTGCATTAGTACGTCAAATCATTTTTGTCGTCGTCATCATCAGCAGCATCATCATCAGCAGCAGCTGAGACCATCGGCGATGTTAGACACTCTAAATGTCAAAAAATTTCAATTATTTTCATTCTGGGCCGCGCTCAGCAGTAGTGCAAAGCCGAGGCAACCCGTGGTCAGGGCAAGGTAAACCTATGATCCCATGACCTAATGCCAAAAATCAGATTAATATATGAGCCGGACTGTGCCGGCGTACCAGATATTAAACTGATAAGAACAGATACTTTTTTTTTTTTTTTTTTTTTTTTTTTTTTTTGTTTTTGTTTAAATTTTTTATTTTGTTTTGTTAATTTTATATTTTTGTTTAATTTTAATCATTTATAGTTTGAAGAAGTTTTAATATCAAATAATAAGATCAGATAATAAATTTTTTATGTTTAAATTATTTCTGTTGGACAATTATTTATCTTTATTAGTTTTGCATAGCTTTTAAGTTTTTGGATGTTGATTGTTATTTGGTTTTCTTTTTAGATACGTTTGTCTCTTAGCAATACGTTCGTCTTGCTTTCTTTCATGTTCACGGTCAAGTACAGCATATTCCCTTCTTCGTTGATCCCACTCAAATTTTCTGCATGCGGTGTATCTGATTTTTTCTTCATAGTAAGCAGTATCTTTATTGTAGTTTTTAAATAATCTTGTGTTATAGGCATACATTTCTCCTGAATCCATTCCCTTAAAATCGAGTGTATATATGGACCTCAATGCTTGCCTTTCAATTTTGTGGTATTTATTTTTCTCTGATTCATATTGGTCCCACTCGAGTTTTTTAAAAGCTTTAAATTTATTTAGTTCATCTTTACTGCAGTTAAGCCTATCAAAGGTTTTAAAGAGTTTCCAATTATAGTCAACTTTTTCTATGTGGGTTAGTTGGTAGAATTCTTCTGGTATATTTACTGTATTATTCATGTCATTTTCTGCAAAACCATTTTTTTTAACTTCGTTAGCCGTATTTTCACTATAAATTACGTCATCCTCATTTTTGTTATAGGTGTTTTTATCGGTTTTATCAGGCTCATTTTTATTGCCGTCGTTTTCCTTTTCGATTTCTTCAAATTCATTCTCTTCGCTTTTACTTTCGTCACTCTCGTTTTCGTCGCTATCGTATTCTTCACTGTTAGTTTCGTCATAACCTTCTTCACATTCACTCTCTTCAACTTCATCATCTTCAGTTCCACTTACATTATTCTCAGCTTCACTTCCACAATCTTTATTATTTTCTTCTTTATCTTCTTTTCTGTTTTCTTCGACTTCATTTATATTGTCTTTATGAACATCTTTAGTATTTTCTTGGTCTAGTTTTAATCCTGTTATTGTAGTTGGTTTTGTTAGTTGAATATTTTCATTCGGTTCTTTTCCCTTTGAGTGTTCTTCATTCGTATTACCCTGATATAAAGATGTTGTTACTTCTAATGTAATATCTGAGGGTAGGACCTTAGTTGTGTTATCTGTTTCATTGCTTTCTATCTCTTTGCTTGTTGTATCTTTTTGGGTTCGGGTTCCAGTGTCTTCTTGTCCTGTGTAAATTGCTCTAACATCGTACCCCTTTAAGTTAATTTTTCTGGGGATTGGTTTAACTAAGTTTTCCATAGTTGCAACTATAATACCTGAATAGTAAAGCGTCTTTTTTTTTGGTGTTTTTTTAAAAATGGGTCTAGTTGTTACATGTTTGCCATACCCTAATTCCTCTAATATTTTCCCAGCAGGGAAATTACTTTTTTCTATCGGTAAACCAAGAATCGATATGTTGATTCTTTTACTGATATTTCTGCTTGGTGTTGAGTTGTAAAAGTAGTGTCTTGCACCGTTTATAACTAATCCTTTATCTAGAAGCGCTTGTTTGGCTTCATTAGAGTTCATTACAATTTCAATTGTAGATCCATTACGGATTTGTTGGAAACCATATAAATATTTATCAAAGTTTGCATTTTCTATAGCTGATAATATTTCATAATCACTATATTTAGTATTAAGTTTGCACAATATAGTATTTTTAAGGGTGCTGTATTCATTTATTGTACTTAGATTTGCTGCATTTTGCGTAGAGATTTTGCTTGCAGCTTGTGCATAAGTTTTACAATGGGCAATAATAGCCGTTGTTTTAGTATCTATCTCCATAAATGGTTTAGGGTGTATTCTAAGTATGGGTATAGTACAAAAACGCCTATAATAAAACACTCCTTCGCTCTAAACAAACACTCAGTCACTCTGAGGCCAGTAGACCTCTAATAGAGGTCTAACCAACCTCTTTATACACGCAGTCACTCTAAATAAAACACACTGAGGTCTACGACCTCTATAACCTCTCAGTCACTCTATACGCACAAAAGCCAGTAGACTTTTTAGTAACACTCTTTTGCAACCCGTGGACGGGGCAAGGTAAGATTACACAAACTCCCAGAAAGCCAGTAGACTTTCTTTTATAAGCGTTTAGGATCACTAGCTCGTCCAAATGAACTAAAATCAAGAACAGATACTACACTTGATCTTAGCCATTAGGCCGAGAAGCGATAACTGACCACTGCAGACATAGTCGGACAGACGCCGTCTTCAACAATGCACTTGTGGTTTGCATTAGTACGTCAAATCATTTTTGTCGTCGTCATCATCAGCAGCATCATCATCAGCAGCAGCTGAGACCATCGGCGATGTTAGACACTCTAAATGTCAAAAAATTTCAATTATTTTCATTCTGGGCCGCGCTCAGCAGTAGTGCAAAGCCGAGGCAACCCGTGGTCAGGGCAAGGTAAACCTATAATCCCATGACCTAATGCCAAAAATCAGATTAATATATGAGCCGGACTGTGCCGGCGTACCAGATATTAAACTGATAAGAACAGATACTTTTTTTTTTTTTTTTTTTTTTTTTTTTTTTTTTTTTTTACCAGCCAACTAGGGACACCTGCTGCTGAAACCAGACTTACACAGGGTCTTACTAGAAGGCCGGTGTTATTAGGGAGCCGAAACTCCGCATTTTGGCCCACTTAAGGGTTTTTAGTATGGCCCATTTAAGGGTTTAGTTGCCACTCAGCCGAAACTGAGCAGCGCCCACTTAAGGGTTTATCTCCATTTAACGTCCGGAGTGGACGGATCGCTCTGAAATTTCCGGACGTAGAAGGAGACACTGAAAAAGCGACTACGCCAAGAATCTCTATCGACTATCACGGTTTCGATCTTGTGCTGTTTCTGTTTTCTAACAACACCGTAACCAATTATTATTATTAAACTATATAAGAACAGAGCGCGGCCCAGAATGAAAATAATTGAAATTTTTTGACATTTAGAGTGTCTAACATCGCCGATGGTCTCAGCTGCTGCTGATGATGATGCTGCTGATGATGACGACGACAAAAATGATTTGACGTACTAATGCAAACCACAAGTGCATTGTTGAAGACGGCGTCTGTCCGACTATGTCTGCAGTGGTCAGTTATCGCTTCTCGGCCTAATGGCTAAGATCAAGTGTAGTATCTGTTCTTATCAGTTTAATATCTGGTACGCCGGCACAGTCCGGCTCATATATTAATCTGATTTTTGGCATTAGGTCATGGGATCATAGGTTTACCTTGCCCTGACCACGGGTTGCCTCGGCTTTGCACTACTGCTGAGCGCGGCCCAGAATGAAAATAATTGAAATTTTTTGACATTTAGAGTGTCTAACATCGCCGATGGTCTCAGCTGCTGCTGATGATGATGCTGCTGATGATGACGACGACAAAAATGATTTGACGTACTAATGCAAACCACAAGTGCATTGTTGAAGACGGCGTCTGTCCGACTATGTCTGCAGTGGTCAGTTATCGCTTCTCGGCCTAATGGCTAAGATCAAG